TTTAAACTGAAGTAAATGAGCAGAGATATGTGTTAATGATCATCCAGTTGCTTTGCTGCAAATCCTGTATATGGCATCCAAACAAAAAAACGACCAAGTGCTTAGACTTGCATCTCCTGTAAAGTGCATTTTGGCTGGCTGCTGGACTCCTGGGAGCATTTATGGTTGATCGTTGTGGCAAGGTGGGCTGCCGTTGTGCTCATCACTACTACTAATAATACAAACTTCCCCCCTTTTCTGTAAATGATCGCTTTCTCTGAGACTCTCGCCCTTTAGACCCACAATCTCGAATGTAAGGTTGGCTGTTTTGTGTGGGGTTTATTTATTTATTGTTTTGGTGAAGTCTTCAGGGACGTGTGGTGGCTCTCCCCTGCAGCGGTGCCTCCTGTGCTTCTTGTAAATTCTGTAATTCTGTATAGCTGAAAGGCAGCCAGAGTGGGACTGACGGCCAGTAAACTGGGAGTTGTTTTGATTTTCTTTACCTATAGCGCACACCTCGTCGCATCACTGCTGTCCACCTTGTTTGCCCCTGCCTATTGCTGTAGTCGTGCATGATTAGATTTAAACAACGCTGATCTCACTGTATGCTAAAAAAAGAGTCTGTATAGAGACTTTTGTTAATGTACAATGTCAACTAATTCCACTGCAGAAATAAAGATGGAGCCTGGTCTCCGTAGGACGAGAGTGTGTGTTGGTGAACAACAGGTAAAAAAGTTAAAATCAGGCTCGAGTTCAGGAGGATCAGAACGCTCAGAGACGAATGTTTCTGAGATGTTTCCCTTTTGTTTCCCTCAGCGGTGTTTGAGCGGTCCCTCCACCACCCCGCGGGCTGCCCCCACACACGTCACTGTGCACCAGTCACCCCTCACAAGTCAACAAAATCACAACGTGACCTCTCCTGTTTTCCTTTCAAACGTTTTAACGACACAAACTGATGAGGTAGGAAAGCTAAAGGCAATGGAAGAGTGTTAACTTGTGGATCTTGTCACCATGCATCATAAAAACACAGCTGGAGAGAATGCAGCCATCAGTCATGGTGCCTGCAGGATTTCCCTGCAGATCATCAGTTTAATAGCACTGTGTGTTTGTTCTAGTTTGTCTATAGTGAGAATTATTCATTGATCCATTGATTTGTTACAGGAGTTTTAGCTGCGGTCGAACACGTTGATATTGATTGTACCTAATGTGGCAGTTTAAATGTTTAAAATCATTTAAATCACTGCAAATCCAAACGAAAAACTAGATTGTTTTTAATGACTTTTAATTGTAAATCTAGATGCATGAAACGAAAAAATAAATGTTAAATTATTTAATTTCACACATTTAACCTGCACAGTTTATTTTGATAAACAGCTTTTAACAACAGTGTATTTTTATCTGATGATCTTTCTTTTAAAACACATTTAAATAAAATGTTTTTCAACTCAAAAGCTAACCGGTGACATGCATGTAATACAGTCATTTCCTATGAGGAAATTATTTGACAAAAAAATTACTGTTTTTATTTTAGTTGCAGTATTTTACGCTCTCATGCAGGTTTAACAGAAACATTAAACAGTCCAGATTTTCATTTATAAGTTGTTTGTGTTTTTGTTGTTAGGAGCTGTAAACTCTGTTAATATGAACAGAATTAGACATCGTTCACAGAATCCTTCTGAGAACCAAGATTATGTCTGTTGTGCATTTCAGATAGGAATTGGACCTTTTCAACAACAAAATAGCTCCCTTCAACATTAAACAAAACGTAAAACTTGATTCTGAAATTCATTAATTAGACGTAAAATTATTCTAATTAAACGAAAATTTCCTGAATAATAACATGTATGTATGTATATATAACATGTATAAACGGGAATTGTCCACACATGTGGATGCTGGGCCTCAATAGGATATAAAGTCTAATGAAAAACCTTTCTTCATTAGCTTATTAACCCTCTCAGGCTCAAAATAAGTTTTGATAAAAGGACGAAAAACTAAGTCTTTCAGGGGTACTTCTGAGTTAAAAAATGCTCATGAAATACGCATGTGGAGTAACCGGGTAGGTAGGTTTTAACGTTATCTGCAATGCCTGCCTCCAGAGGGTTACAATACTGTTCACAAACAGCTGTATCTATAGATACTGACACGTGTGTTTAGAGGTGATCCATTAAACTTTAGACATGATGGTGGGAAAATCCAGTGATCTGCCTCATTTCATGACATTTTTTTCTAAAAGAAGAATCTCTCACAGCCCCCCCAAATCGTCAAAAGCATCCTTGTTAACACTCTTCCATCCTGCTGCCTGAACTATAAACGCACTAAACCTTTTCTCAGAGGGTGACTGAGGTCAGCGTCTCCAGAATAAGTCTGCATGGATTTCTGTTCAGGGTCTGGCCCGGGCAATCTTTCAAAAAAACAGGATGCAACTTTAAAATGTTTGTGTTTGAAAAACGTACAGTTTCTCACCAGGGGGGTCCAGATTTGGCTCCTGTATCACAAATACACACATTAGTGTTGCAGTTTTTCTACCAGGCATCTTGAACCACGTAACTACACCCTTCTTTCTGACGTTTTCCTGCTCATGTAAAAACAATAACAATAAAAATAATAATATGTCTTAATGTTTTTGTTTCCCCACTTTTCTGATTGTGAACTGTTGATTGTTTTATAAGACGCCCCTCCCAAACCAAAAAAAAAATTACTTTGTGACAAAAGGTGCTTTTGGTGGCGGTTAATGCGTCTGAAGAACACACAAACAGCTGGTTTGTCAGACTCCGCACTGAATGTAGAAATGAATGGATTTGCTTCATCGTGTGTCCGTGTGACAAGCAGCATCCAACACAAAAACGATGTGGACGTGAGTTTCCTGGCATCTGGACTGGTTCCAAAACTAATCTCTAGTCCAGGATTGTGACTCTTGCTCGCTTTAAGAACATCAATGATGGGTCGGTTGTGTGTTTGGAAATTGTTTTTGTGCTTGTTGATGTTCACTCACATTAACCACTGAATCAGAAAATGCCCTGGTCCCAAAGTTTGTCACAAAATCTTACATCGATCTGTTTTACGTCCAGGATTAGTAGAATTCCTGTTTTCAAAACATTCATTTGTAATCCGAAAGAAATCTTTTAGCCATAACATTTCCGCCAGAACAGAAGGAAGCGAAAACCTGTCACGTATTAGGCTATGTCTTGTACTTAGTCTTTGGACTCATTAGTAGTGATCTGCAATTCATTGATTTTCACTTTTCCACACAATTCAACTGTAAATAATAACAATCCAACAATGCAATAAACACTATTGCACTCATACAGGGAGGCAGGCTACTGCGGCGCACCAGGTGATGCTACCATGTTTAGAGCCGTAACTCTACAAAACCCTGTACAGCTCATCTGAATCAGGTGATTGTTGTTCTCTGGTTCTTTTCTGACTCCCCTGTCTCTCATTTCTTTTACTCCGTGCTGTTTTAATGAATTAACCTTTTGACATTGTCAGATTGAGAAACAAAAAGAAACTGTATCTGTTTCACGCTGATCTCAAAGCTTCAGAATAAAGCGTTTCAAGTAAAACAAAAAAGTAAAAGAAAAAGTCAACATAAATGCAAATGAAAAAAATAAATAAATACTGAAAGCTGTTGCTGTAAACACAACATTTTAAAGGAACTGTGTATGTACAAATAGTATATGTACGTGATTGAAAATAAACAAAATTTGATCTTGGATTTGTGTAGGTTCATTTGTTCATTGTTGTTTTTAGTTTTGCCACTTTCCTGCCAGTTCTCATCACATTCATATCCTTTTTATTTCAACTGGATCAACAATTTTAATGCTGCTGTTGGGGGGAAGGATGAGCCTGAATTGGTGCCAAACTTAAAACACGCTGATCACATTTTCCCATCAAACAGATCTAACAAAGGAAATCTTGAACAGGTCCTTCACTAAGGAACCATTTTTTTACTTATTATATTTGAAAATGATCGGTCTCTCTGAGTTTTTCATGCAGGCTGCAAATGAAAATAGTCTCGTACACCTATTTCCTGCCCAGAAGGTGAAAATTTAGAATTTGAAAAGCCTGACAGACATTAAGCTGTTGCATGGACTCCCCCATCTTGGCTCAAAACAGAGAACGCTGTTGTTGTTTTAGCGTCTAGGAACGTCTCGACAAGCAGAAGCTAACTGGTAGCATTAGCAAATCCACAACACAGCAGAACTCCTTAAGGATTGTGTTATTTGTGGAGATAAAACATCAACGTTGCAAAGCAAAAAGCGTCAGTGGTAGAGTGCTGTAAGCCAATCAGAAGCTAGATGTCTGAATATCAGGAAATAAGACTCAAAATCCTGTTGTCTGAAGCTACTTTCTCCTCCAGCTGAATTATTTGTGCTGAAACAAGTGCACCAGAGCTCCAATCCACCACAGTATGACTTACAAGGCATTCAATCCTACTAGAGACCACTGCAATGTATTAAAAATGAGTGAAGTGAGAGTTTATTGTATGGTAAATGGAGTATATAATTGCCACAAGTGATTGTATTCATCAGTTAGTGATCAACTGAAATGCTCAAATCACAGTTATACACTCAAATACACAATTTGTTGAATGAATTGTGCTTAAAATAATAATTTTTAAGGATTGAAAAAGGTGACGAGAGGAGCAGCATATGAGTGGGAGTCATAGCGCGTGCATGCTCTAGAGTACATATGTCTATGTGGCTAAGGAATACAGGTCGACCTTGGGCTGGGCAATAAATCGAAAATGTATTATCGAAATGTCTGACTCTTTATCGAGACAATTTTTCCCATGTCAATAAATTTGATAAACAATGAAAAGACGTGTGTAGGTTGGCAACATTCATGTCTCTTTAAGAAGCTGTACCACTTTGAGTCCCGTAAAAATGTGACTCAACACAATACATGTGACAGTCCCATCTAGTGGACAACTTTTGTTTCTGCACATACGTGAAGTTATTGTCCATTTATCGTTATCGAGGAGAAAAAGAAATCACTCAATATATCGTGATATTGATTTTAGGCTATATTGTCCAGCCCTATAGGTCGACCTAAATAAAGTTAATTTAGAATATTTAAATTGACTTTACTAAGGACAAATATCGGCCAATGCCAATGTATAAAAAATGGTAAATATCGGCCCGATACATCTGTCTACCCCTACTAAGAAACGCTTTAGTAATCAAATATTCTGTCAACCATTCAACTCATTTATGGAATGTTTTGACTCTTTTTTAGGTGGTTGATGTAAAATATTTTCAGACACTGTTCACCAGTGGGAGTGTGCTGGGCGTGAGCGGGCATTGAGTTGTAAACGTGCCACGTAGAGCCAGTGATGATGTGCATCAAACACGATTTCCAAAAGTATAATGAGGAAAGAACAATGTGACCTCATGATAACACTGGATGTGCATCTGGCCTGAGTTCTCCAAATAAATAGTGTCTTAATAATTGCAAGTATTGTCTGGTTTTAGTGTCATGATATATCATCTCCCCTGTGTTGTAATACATGTGTCGTATCACCAGATTCTTCCCAATACACACCCCTACTGTGGAATAAATGTAAACATTTCTGAGATAACAGTTAAGAGACATGTCATTTATTCTTGATATAAATGCACATTGAGTGAGTTTAAACCATAGAACCCTGGAAAGACTAAAAAACTAAGCAATGTTACAGGTGAATACATTTTTATTCCTAACATGTTTTTACAGTTCCTCTGTATCATCAAGTATGGCATCCTGCAGCTCCTTTTGTGTGGAATTCAAAGAATGAGGTGACATTGTCAGCTTGGGTAAGCCTATTATTTCCTACAGAAATGTGCAAAGTGAGAGGAGCAGGCTTTCGTTCTTTCTTTGGTTGTCCAGGCACTTTCATTCTTCAATCCATGCACACATTCCAGATGTCCTGCAATGACCAGCAGCAGGTTTTAAACGGGATCTGGTCTCTAGAGAGGAGAAGCAGCAGGTCTGAAAGCACACAAAACCTCTCCTGACAGATGTCCAGACCAGGTCAGATCTCAGACGTGTCTGGATTTGTACCCATCAGCAAATCCACTCTGTGTGTAGACATTTGTTTTAAGGCTACATAAATACTTAATTTATTACAAAGTCACATAATACACATTATTATACACCAACTCCCAACTCATGCACCTTCATGCACTCATTTGCTACCAAATCTTGCCATTACACTGTAAATATCCTTAACTGGATGCTCCACCTTCGGATTTTCCACATTTTAGCAGCTAATTTTAGCTATGTGCTAAAGATAAAGTAGTTTTCTCTAAGTAGGTTTTTGCTGTTCGCTCAGAAAATGTCCACAGGCACACAAATTGGTTGCTACACTTTTTTTAAGTGTAAAGTACAAATTTTGTAATTCTGAATTCAAGACAGGAACATGTGCTAACAGCCAATTGCACAGGGCTAAAACAGACTTTCACAAGCTACAGTTTAATTCGGGCTATTTCCATCTGAGTCTCAGTCAAACCACAGTGCAGACTAAACAATTAGTGTCTTCAATTATCTATAAAATATTTACAGGACAGGTTTCCTTAGTTTTGGTCAAGAGTAAAATGCAACGTCACAGAGGCACAGGCAAATATACAGAATCTGAATTCAGATGACACACATGGACAGAACATTCAGTACCAGCTTCCAGAGGCTAGACAGACACGTAAGTGCAAGAAAACCATCTTAATATAAAACATCACATTTAGCTTAAATATCACTAACATTTAGGTTTTAGTTTTTCTTTACAAACATCTGATTGGGTTTTGTCTGTATTGTTTCCCTCTCTGTACATAAAGAACAACAGCGAGCACTAATAAGTTCAGCAGTTTCTTTGCATCTGTATATTGTTTGCCTTCGTTACTTTTTATCATGCTTGAAGGCTAAACGTAGTACCATCACAAACTGTTTCTAATTCCACTTCAGTGAGCACCACGCTGGTTTTACATTAGTGTCCACGAGGTCTTTAAATATTTATATGTACAGATATGATTGCGGTGACATCACTCCGGGTGATGTCAACATTTATACAAACACCTTTAAGTCTGTTAAATTAAAGCGCATCCTTTTTATTGGCATTTCACAACTCCCTCAGTCGGAAGCCCAAAAAAGGTTTTAGTCCTAACGCCATCGTCTCACTGAATCCAGATGGTGTTGTTTCGGTCCGGCCGGCGAGGGTCGGTGGCTGTGGCGTTGCTGGCTGCGGTGAGGTCACTGAACGTAGAGAAAAACTGCTCCATCTCCTTCTGTAGCATCTGGTTCCGCCGCTCCGCATCGTCCTTGGCCCGCTCAGCGTTGCGTAGCTTGATTTCCACCATGGTGTACTTCTTCCTCTCCTGGTCCAGCTCCTCGTGGAGGTTCACCATTTCTGTCTCCAGCTCCAGGTTACGCTGCTCCAAGCTGCAGAAGGAGAGAGGAGTGTGGTTTTCTTCATCCAGTTTATGAATCATATTTTAGATTTTAACTGGGTGACTGTGGCAGAGGTGAGACCCATTCACTGCTTTGCAAGTTACAAGTCACAAGTCTGACTCCTGTGTGAGTCCAAGTCATGTGACTCAAGTCCACACCTCTGCTATGAAGTGGCTTCCAATTTTGATCAGAACTACTCAAATTAAACTTGTAAAATCTAAACTGGTCCATTTCCCAGTTAGAACTGAAACCTTTCTAAAAGTGATGTGATTCAAAATTGTTCGAATGGTTCATACTTGTGGACCCATAATAGGAAATACCATATTGACCCGAATATAAGATGACCCCGATTGTAAAACGACCCCCTTTCCGAGACTAATCTAATCTTCAGGAAAAAAAAAAACCTTTCACATGTGAAATCCAAAGTCTAATAAGGCTTTTATTCAGACGCCCTCTGCCATGCTGCTGTGGTCCCGATGTACCATCAGATCGCTACACCTGCAGGCACTGCTGGACTGACCATAGGGCATAGCGGGCAATTGCCCGCTGGGCCGACCCTTTCATCTTTTATGGGCCGGTGTCTGTTTTTTTTTTTTTTTTTTTTTTTCTGGCCTCTAGTTGTTGCTGACAACTTGTCCGCGCCGCCCCACGCGACGCCTCGTAAAAGTTGGTGGATTGGCCAATTGGTAACAATACACTCTGGGCTGGACCAATAGCCAGAGGTCTGATGCACCCGCCAGTTGTTTGTGAATCTCAGTAAACAGACAGACGAGCTTTACAAAATAGAGAACAAAAAACGGAAAGCAGGAGCGGAGAAAATTCGACTAAAAAAGAAACTGGCCCTTCAGGCTGATGCTGGCACATGTGTTAAAATCTCACAGTTGTTTGGTAGTGAAGGTTCAAGTAAAATCAATTTAGGAAGTGATGGAGCCTCAGCCCAGCGACAGGTTGGAGAAGAAAAGAGGGAGGAGGAGGAGAAACCCGAGCCGGTGTTGTGCCATTAATCGACTCGCTGCCAAAAAATGATTAGCCACCGCGGGATCGCGCACGGTTAGGTAATTGCATTTCTAGACAAAATTCCCCAGGATTTCGCCCTAAAACTCGGCATATCTAGCAATATGGACATTCAGAAAGCAAAGATAACCTCTTCCGGTACTTAAACAGATGTTTATCGCGGATATTAGTGTGGCAGTGTTGGTGGCACCCTGCGCGGGCGCTCGAGGACGTACTTGTGGAAAGAGGGAGGAAGATGTGACAGTGTGAGCATCCTGTCACAATGTCCCGATTGATCTTGCGCCCTGGCTACTCGCCTAGGGGATACCTCTTTGGCTGAGTGGTTAGAGCGTATTACTCTCTCCCCAGAGGTTTGGGGGTCGAATCCCGCTCGGGCATTGTTTCTTCACCTTGCCACATAAGTTTTTCCAGTTCGGAAGTAGTTTTAAGTGTTGCTATTTGTCTTAAACGTTCACAATGAGGATATATTAATCCTTTTTGCAATATTTGCGATTGAAAGATGGTTTGTGGTAAGAACTGGCTTTCTTTATGTAACAGCCTTGATACTAAAAAAATAAATAAACAATGTAAAATGGCACCATGTATTGAATGTAAACGTTGTATAAATGTAAATAAACAATTCTCCAGCGATTTAATTTTTTCCCCTTCCTTTCTTTAGTCCACTTGACATGGAGCCACAGTTAACTAGTTTGGGGCACATTTTTACTTGGAAAAATAGTATTTAAACTGATCAAGCTTTGGCTTTAATGACACTGTGTAGGTTACTATCTATACATTACGTTGCTCTATTTAAAAGTAACAAGATAAAAGCACATCAGCACATACAATTAAGATTGTCACTTGCCAAATAGAGACTACACCCTCCTGTTTACCTATAAGAAACGCCTCAAAATGTCTTTAAATTCTTTATTGATGATTTAATTGTAGACAACTAAAATGGCATTTTACTTGCCAAAAAGTGATTGAATCGCTCAGATTTTCATGGAGGCTAAAATTGACCAAATAAGGGTTTTATGTATTATCTGTTGATGTTACTGTACTCATACTGTCTACTGTATCATCAAAAACACCCCAAAAATGGCAAAAAAAAAAGATAATTTCCCTTGCCAAAAATTGATTACAGTGTCCTGGTCACCCATAAAGGCTTAAATTGGCATAAATATGACTTCATTTATTATGATGCTGGGTGTGTTCCACAATCATATTCGAATAAACATGAAAATATTCCGTCCGAATATCTGTTTCTTGTTATAAATATAACAGCTAGAAGGATTTACAGTTAAAATAGGAGAAACATTTCAGGAAACTATTGTCAATTAACCACAGAAATAGGGACTAATAACATCAAGAGATAATAAATAAGGTAATATTTAGGTAAATTTAACCCTTTACACGTGACTCCCCAGGAAGGGTCGTAACACCACTTGCCTCATGCACATAAGTGACCAAAACAAAGCAGCATGGAGACACTCCGTCTCCAACCACCTCTCAGGCAGCAGCCTGCATGATCTACACGTCACCAGAATATAAACAACCGCAACACAATAAAAGCAGTGTTATACAAAATGGAAGGCCTGCAGTGTTTATTCTCTTACAGTAACAACTTATCAATTTTTTGGAGGAATTTATTTGAGATTTTTTGGTTTTTATTAATTGTGCAATAGAAAAATAATCGCTAAATTAATCATCTAAATAGTAATTAGAATAGTTGACTATTCGATAAAATAATCGTCAGAATAATCACTTTAAAAATAATCATTTGCCCCCAACCCTACTTTTTTAGAATACCAGGATAGGAAGGATGGTGTAGGTTTACGTTTATTAGATTGATACATAAATACTACCAATAAGAAAGTGTACGTTGGTGTGTGTCAGAAACAGCGTAAGGCTTAATGTCTTTTCCAAAAAAAACAGGTGATGGGCCGGTCTCCAATCAAAATGCCCGGGCTGAATTTTTGTCCCAGTCCAGCCCTGCCTGCAGGAACGTCATCCTCACTGCCATCCAAGGCATCCATGCATGCAATGTTTGATGCCTATGCCGAATTGACCACCATCATCTTAAAATCAGCATCATAACTCCGCCTTAGTAGCTTGTTAACTTGTCCTACTTTCGATCCACTCCGCTCCGGACCGGTCGTCCCCATTTTCTTCTCCAGTTAAGAACATACAGCCTGGCGCCCTCTGCTGTTACAGGCGTGTAATGACCCCAGACAAATATCAGCATGTGTGAATGCTTAGACCCTGATTATAAGACGACCCCACATTTTAAATTTTTTTTCAATGAAAAAAAAACCTCGTCTTATATTCAGGTCAACACGGTGATCAAATATTAGAATATCAGCTCACGAAAAGACACATTTTGACATCAAATTTCTGTGATGATTATTCTAATCAAAACATATGTAGTGGTAGTTCCTTTGTTCGTCAGTTCACTTCATATTTTCCAACTTTAAAAGCCACTACTGCATTGTGGTAACGTTTCGTACGCAGGCAAAAGAAGTTCAATGTCCAAACTTGAAAGCTGCGTTTCCTTCAAGGATTACTTTCCAGGTTGGCAAGCAATAAAACACAGATCCTGTTTTCCATTGTTTCCTGCTGCTTCTCCTGCTCTGGTAAAAAACCATACACCCACCCCAGTGCATGCTGGTCCTATACCAGTGCCTACTTATACAAAATGACCTAGTGAATTTTCCTGACTGACTTACAAAGGTAAACAACAAAATGAGCTACAAAAATAAACAACTATTAATCAACAAATAAACTTTATAAATGCTTCAAAAATATAAAGTGAACTAATCACAAGTTTAAAGAAAATACACAAAAATAACACAAATAAAGTATAAATAGCTCCAACAATATATATTTTTAGAGATTTTAGAGCTACTATCTCTCAGAAAGTAGAGAAAGTACTAATGCAGGAGAAAGGTGTAGGAGACCCTTTTCATGTTCAGCCTGCATGAAAAACTCTGATTATAATCAGAAATAATAGTTAATGGTTTTTCAGTGTTCCACACCTTTAAAAAACATTAAGAACCAGCTCTGGTCTTGTCTTTGGTAGAAAGACACTAACTGGGCAACAAATGAAAAAAAAATACTTTGATGGATTCCTGTTTAAGCTCTAACCCTACGTGTACTAATGTAATAAATTAAGTCTGCTGATTTGTGTAATACCTGCGTCTTATGATGAGGATGATGCATAGGCTTATACTGTATGCACATCAACAGTGAAAGTGGTAAGTAATCTGGTGTCTTCTTGGTTTAAGCAAAAAATCTTACCAATCTTATTAGAACTATAATTAGTTTTATGTGTCATGCATTCATTTCAGGATGAGGCAACAATTTCATGAGCCATGTTGAAATCCTAAACTATTACAGAAGAATTATGGCTTAATGTAGGGCTGGGCGATACATCGAAAATTTTTCGTTATCCAAATTTGTGACTCATTGAGATAATTTTTCCCATGTCAATAAATTTGATAAAAAAAAAAGAAAAGATGTGTGTAGGTTGGCAACATTCAAGAAGCTGTACCACCTTGAGTCAAGTAAAAAATGTGAGAGGGTGCTCGCTGCAGAACTATGAAGGCGGAGCTGCACCATAAGGTGGAGCTGCACCAGAGTCAGCCCCGCCCATTCACGCAAACTCAGCCTAGCCCACTGACTTCCGTTTTTGTTTTTCAACTTTATCGCAAACTAACCTGACCCACATGAATTACAGCTGTTACTAGTTTACAGTCGTTAATGCTATTTTCTATGCTCCAATTAAACAAGATAAATATAACTTGCTACATGACAAAGTCTGAATATATCCCGAAACGAAAAGGTTTCTTTTAGCGAATATCTGCCCACAGCCGCTCTAACAAAACTCGTGTACAACAGCATGTCACGATACCATGTGGGTTTTGGTAGTCCAGTGGCAAGATCGTCTGATTTAAGTTTTGCTTTCCCCTTAGCTGATGCCGGTTCGATTCTCGGTGGGGTCGGCAACAATCTATTTAGCCAGCTGAAACATTTAATTTGTTCATATTTTAGTTGTAATGTTCATTTTCAGCAAAATATTTATGTCTGTACAAGTTCTTTGAATTTGGTCGTTCCTAAACAGCATTTTAGTTGAAACTCTGCTCACAGATGGACTCACACTGGCTAAATAAACGAATGAATAAATAAAAAAAACACATTAGTCATTATATGTTAAACGGCATACCAATAAATTGTTGTAAACATAGTACTGGGAAGTGTAGCTAGAAATGAGTAAAAGGGGTTATAGAATATTTCCACTACTGGGAGGCGAACCTGCGCAAAACTGCATGTCAACCTAACACCATAACCACTACATCACCACATCTGATAAACATTGGGTGGCGTTATATTTAATTGTGCTATTCAGTGTGTCTTTGTAGATGGGATGTACGATTTTTCCGGCGGTGTCTCAGTAGAAATCATTTCAGAAATAATTTGTCAGAAAATTCACAGAATATCCAGATTTGAGAACCAAGACCAGACCCGCTTCGGGGGAGGAGACCAAATTGAAGCTGAGATGGGAGGAAAATGCATGAATGAGGCCAAAAATGGCTTTGGCGTGTTTCTTATGAGGAAATGACAATATAACATGATTAAAAGTTCCAAAAGTTAGATTTTTAATTATATGGAACCTTTACAAAAACTGTTCAATTCACTTCTCAACTCCGTCCTCAATCTTGCATTTTTTAGCTATAACACCCTCTTTGGTTCCAGAATGCTATAAAGTCTGACAACTGGAAGAAATTGGACTGACTCTGATAGAATGGATGGGGCTGATTCTGGAATGGGCGGGGCTGACTCTGGTGCAGCTCCGCCTTTGTGGTTCTGCAGTGAGCACCACTTGAAAAATGTGACTCAAAGTAATACATGACAGCCCCATCTAGTGGACAGCTTTTGTTTCTGCGCATACCTGTAGTTATCGTCTATTTATCGTTATCGAGTCGAAATCCTCAAAATATCGTGATATTCTTTTTAGGCCATTTCACCCAGCCCTAGCTTAATGTTGATCTCATTAAGCAGTTAAGAACTACAGAGAAAATGAAAATATTAAAATCATTTTCCACAGCTAGAAAAAGCTTAGAACTGATAAAAAAAACAAAAAAACATCAAGCGCTTCCTTCCTTAAATTTGCTGCTTTTTCCATCTGTATCCCAACTAGGGATAGACCGAGGTATCGGTTGGCCAAAATATCGGATAATATTTACTATTTTTTAATAGACTGGCATCATCCAATATTTTGGAAGAACGAGTAAGAGGACAAGGACCACAAGCTGTGGATCTATCTGGCATTCATTAAAGGTTTGGATATTCCCAGTAAAAAATGGAATGTTACATGTGTGATCCGACATTCTTCTTTTTTGTTTTCCTCTCGTCCAACAAGCAGTAGGTAAGTTAGCAGTAGCTTTAGCTCAGGCTAGCATTAGCAGTAGCTAATAGGATAAGTTAACAACAGCACTAGCTCAGGCTAACGTTAGCAATACCGTGACCAGCGTTTCTGTACTGCTGTCGCTGAAGTGTGTTGGGACCTGAAGATGTAATGTGGTGTTTCTATAGCCTGGCCTGCCAGACTCCTCCTCTGTTTAATTCTGCACAGAGAAAGGGTCTGGGAACTCTCCTATTCAAATAACCCCACCGCCTGAGAATTCTATCAATCAGCGCCGAGTAGTGTATGTCATACACCACAACGCCGAGTTTGTCATAAACATGGCGACTGAAGCGGAGTTTGCTGCAGCTCTTTCCTCTGTTCTAAATGACTTGGACACGTCTTTAAAACAACAACAAGTAGAAGCGCTAAAAGCTTTTCTTCTAAAGAAAAATGTTTGCGCTGTCGCCAGACGCCATTTTTGACTACAGCTAAAAAAACTACAGCGTCGCGGACGTCACACACAATGATGCTCAGTTTCTCATAAACAACAAAGACAGCAGCGGAGTTCGCTGCGGCTCTTTCCTCTGTTCTACATGACTCGAATGTCTTTAACCCTCTGGAGGCAGGTGTTGCAGATTTGCAACATTAAAACCTACCTACCTGGTTATTCCACATTCGTATTTCATGAGCATTTTTAAACTCAGAAGTACCCCTGAAGGACTTAGTTGTTTGTCGTTTTATCAAAACTTATTTTGAGCCTGAGAGGGTTAAAACCACAACAAGTAGAAGCGCTGAAAGCATTTCTTCTAAAAAACTTAAAAGATATTTGTGCCGTTGCCAGACACCGTTTTTTTTTTTTACTAGAGGTACAGTCGGCATTTCCGTCTTTTTTCTGATTGGTTAGTTTTGAGCTGGCTGGTCCCACCCCTCAAGTGCCACGCTGCCTGTGAGATACCAGACTCTTTCTCTGTGCAGAATTAAACAGAGGACGAGTCTGGCAGGCCAGGCTAGTGTTTCTCTCCTCAGACTGAAGTTTCTCAGCGGCCATTACAACACTATAATTGACCATGGAAAACAGGTCAGAGACAGGCTTTTGGTGCAACAGTAGACACATCAAGCTGCTTATATTCAACAAAAACAACAAAGATGTGGTTTTAAATTCTAGGACAGCTTTAAATTCAGTGTTAAAAATGGTTTATGGTTAATAAAACGTGCATGCACTGTTGTTATTTTAGCATGCAAATATGGTGGAAAGCATTGGCTCAAAAAATCTGCTGCACATATCGGTCATCAGCTGATCATGACCTCTAAATTTTCAACATCAGCAATAGATCAGTCAGTCTCTGATTCCTACCTTTTTATCCTGGCCTCATACTCGCTCCTCTGTTTGTTCATCTCCTGTTTAAGACTGGCCACTAGGCTGTGCAGCGCGCTGTGGCTGCCAGCTCCATTACCAACGGTCAGCCCCTCACTGGTCTCACTGTAACTGGTGCCCTGGCTGCTCCCCCCAGCTCCATCTTCACCCTCTTCCTTGTTGCTGTTCCTGCCACTTCCACTTCCACCACCACCACCAGACTGGGGAAGTTCACCATCCTGTGCTGGTCCATCCAAATCTTCATAGTGTCCGCTGTAAAAGTCCTGCTCAGGGCAGGTGGTGGTGGAGGAACGACAGGAAGTGGAATTGTCGGGGAGGGAGATTTCACAGGACGACGTGGACCAGGTGGCACTGTCCACACTCTGCTTGTCCTCACAGCTGGTGCTCAGACATGTGTTGGCGATCTGGTTCTGCAGGTTCTGATGGTTTAACTGCACATTATCATACGTAGACAGACGATTCTGACTGGCTATTTGATCCCCGTTGGAGCACTCGCGTGTCTTGTTGCTCTCTCGAAGCATGACACAGCCGTTTTGTACCCAAAGACCATTGCGGTTGTTCTGGCTTCCTGTGACTGTGTCACAGCTTGAAATACCCATGCGCAAAATGCTCGTCCCATTCCCAGCCGGACTGCCTCCGCTTGTCACGCCACCGGTGCCCATTTTTGTCCCTGAGCCTTTGAGCGTCCCGCTACGACGTGCTGTCAAAATCCCACTTCCTGTTAAGGAGTGGCTCTTATCTAAATTTGGATCTGAAGAGGGCGAGGAGCTGAAGGAGCCATTTGTAACAATCCCACTTCCTTTGTTGAAGGCTGGGTTCTTCTTCACAGTCAAAGTTGGACTACGGGTCATGTCTAAGTGTCCGGGGACAACATTTCGGGGGCTCGCTGATCGCGGGGAGCCTCTGTTGTCTACTTGTTGGTGTTGGGAATGAGACTCGGGTGCTTCCCAAACACACTGCCGCACCACTTGTGTGTTGTTGTTTTCAGCGTTTTGGGTCACTGTGGCTATGCCTGAGGTAGTCGTGACGGCTTGTCTTCGTGGGAGTTCAATGTTGTTATTGTTGGCGGGTTCGAGTGTCGCAGACTCGTCTTCTTCTCTCGGAAAAAGGATATCATGGCGACCGATCAAAACAGCCATGAGCTGCTGGACCAGAACAGTTCCTGGTAAAAACAAAATACATTTGGGAATGAAAGTTAAACTAATGATTATATCTGACAATGTTTTTAAACACTGACCTTCCATTATTGTCACTGGATCCTCAATCTTTGGCCTTAAGATGTTTGGCCCAAAAACAGTGGCCAAGTTCTGCACACTCATCTTATTCACTCCTGAATAAGACTGAACTTCATCGAGAAACCTATGAAAAGGAAGAACTTTTTTTTGTTCATTCTTTAACCTTTTCATCACAATTTGAATCCCATCCACCCAAAATAATAATCCCTACCTGCAGATGTATTTCAAGAGGTTGAAGTTCACTGGAGGTAGACATTCCACAAGCCTTTTTAATTCCTTCATACCCTGCAGATGAAATACATATTTAGGTAAAAACAAAAGAAGCTCAAAGTTACTCATTCTATGGGCTACAATTATGAAATAACTAGGTCAATGTGAAGGTAAAGAGAGAGCTGAGCCACAGGGCCAAAATGAGTTTTCTCCGCAGGGAGTCTGGGCTCGCCCTTAAAGATAGGGTGTGAAGCTCGGTCATCCAGGAGGGGTTTGGAGTAAACCCACTGCTCCTCCACATCGAGAGGAGCCAGTTGAGGTGGCTTGGGTATCTGGTTAGGATACCTCCTGGACGCCTCCCTGGTGAGGTTTTCTGAGCACATCCAACCAGGAGGAGACCTAAAGGAAGACCCAGGACACGCTGGAGGGACTATGTCTCACAGATGGCCAGGGAACACCTTGGGATTCCCCTGGAGGAGCTAGCCCAAGTGACTAGGGAGAAGGAGATCTGGGCCTCTCTCCTCAGGTTGCTGCCCCCACGGCCCGACCCGGGCCAACCCCAGATAAGTGAAAGAGAGTGAATGGATGGTATTGAGAACAGCTCCTGATAAAATTAACAATTACCAAATCTACTGCTGATAGTCAGAGAGGCCAGATTGAAAATTGATTAAAACAACTCTAAAATAAAAAAAGATAGAGGGATTTTTATGAAATGTTATGCTGTTAATTTTACACAATTATTTACCCATCATTTTTGATTGTTTTCAACAGACAGTGTCAACAACTTTCGACTCAACATGTAATACAACTGGAATAATATTTAAGACTGCATCTGCTGGATTAACTCTATAAATAAGGTCCACACAGGTTGTTGTGCTGTTTTGACCCTCCAACTAAAAAATAACAGACCATGCTTTTAAACATTAAAGATATTTGTTCTGGGAAAAGGCCTTTTAAACGAGCTGCACTGTGAGAAAATAAATTCAAAGGTCTGATCCCTTTCTTCACATCCCCTTTAGAGCCACAAAATATGATGGTAGCAAAAAATGGTGTAACACCGGCTGCGACAAACACACACACACACACACACACACACACACACACACACACACACACACACACACACACACACACACACACACACACACACAGCTGCTGTTGAGGTCAAAATTTCTGGAAGCAATTCCGAACCGAACCTCTTCCCACTTGCTTTTCTTCTGACTTCCGTGCAAAATAAAACAAATTATAGACTTTTTTCAGAAATATAAAAAGAACCAGTGGCAATACAGTGATTTACAAAGATGTTTTAAGCTTGTTCTCTTATGTCAAAGATAAAAAGGTGAAGCATTTAATCTGGACAGAAACATTTTTCTGGTTTTAAAAACAGGAACCCACACAAAAACCCAAAAGCTGAGCAGTGAAAAACGTTTTGGGTCTCACTCTGCTTATAACCGTGTCTCACGCTGTGAGAGAAATCCTATTGAAGCACTAGAAGTCAGGACAGACAGTGAAGTCATTATGTGAGGAAACATCAGAGCAGGGATGACTCGGTGGTCAGAGACCAGATTTAATGCCACAGCAGAACTAAAGAAGGGCTTTTCAGAGCTAACTTTACATAAACCCAACCCAGCAGATGTTCACACATAGGGATAACGTCCGTGACTGCAGGCAATATGTGGGGTGAAAAAAAAAACTCATGTTCCTTTTCTTACTGTTTCATCATCTTTGCCCAAGAGCTTGGCACAGGCCAGGAACTCTTCATACTTCTGGAAAGGGATGACGGGCTCTGGCAGTTCTCTGAGGTACAGCTTCAGAAGAGAAGCTACAGTGTGCACATCTGTGTTACTGTTGATAGATTGAGACATCTGGTGAAACTGGGTAAAAGTTGAAAAACAGTTGTTAAACATTTCATTCTGTTCCTGTTTAACACAAATGTAAGTCGGTGGTGATCTAGTAGACATGTATTTAGTGTCTCCCTCCTTAAAACAATCCTATTTTTCGGTTATCTTGGCTAAAAACGGCACTAAACCATGTGCAGAAGCACACTTCCCACCAAGCCAGACCTTAGCCTCGTGTTATTCCTCAGCTCCTTCCTGTCCCTGTTTTACTAGACTCTGTTTTCAGCTTTTGTGTATTCTGGCTCACCGGAAGACGTCTATACTCGGATAATCCTACTGACTGTCCGGTCTTTTGAAACAGCATGTTCTTCTTTTCCCTTTGTATGCATTTTAATATTTATTTAGCTAGACATGGGAAAAACAAACAAAAATGCTAAATATAGGCTGAAAATAATAAATCAGAATGTGAATGTCAAGATTCAAGATCTTTTTATTGTCATTTCACAGGTGTACATTGAAATTTACTCTGCACTCATTAAAGAATTAGGTTTATATTAAAAAAGACACGCAGAAAATCTCTGTATGAATTTTGATTATGTTTGCTAACATTTCCGCATTAAAACTGTCAGAATCTGCTCCTGTAGTCTCCTGTGCCTCTGGTGTCTCGTCTCCCTCGTTAGTGTTGATTGAACTCACCTGCCCCTCGATACCTTACCCACCTGTTTCCCTGAATATCCTCATGTATTTAAACCCTGTTTGTGGTAGTCTTTGTCAGGTACGCATCCTCCATCACACTACCTACCAGCTTTCATATTGGTTTGCGTGCCAGTATGCCTCCTGCCTACATTTTGGGTCATAACTACAAGGCCACATCATGACAAAACAAGCTGTCAGTCCCAGTTTGTCTAATCTAATCTAATCCAAATGCTACAGCACTGCTTATTCCAAATGATCAAATGAAACTTCTGCAAGGGGTGGGGGCCTTTCTGGTTGCAGTCTCCTTGGGGTTCCTGTGTTCTGGGGCAGCGCCTGGATCTCTGGGACTTGAGCTCCCCCCGTCTCCTACACATCTTTGGGGGGCGGATCTGTGGTCCCTCACACTCTATATTGGACGCTCCTATAGAGAAACCTTACATAAACAAGCACGTGTACACACACAGGTGCTCACATGGTGCTCTCAAAAGTATGGGCTTGGGCACGTTAAACACAGGTCTTAAGGCTGTCGTTGCCACTACATGCACTGTGATTTATTATCGTGTGATTGTTCAGTTAAACAATGTTGATTTTATATTTCACCATCAGGTTGATGCAGTGATAGCTTGCTCCTGATGTATTGTTGTGTGTCCCATTTTTTTCTGCTCTTTCTCTTTCTGCAGGTCTAGAAGCAGACTCTTGTTCATTATTGTTTATTTTTGTGGACACCCCCCCCCCCCCACCCCCCTTCCCCCTTCTCTTCCCACCTTTTGTCTTTTCCTTTCTCTTTCACCCCTGTCTCTGTGTCTGGTCGGAATTACAAAGCATTCAAAAACAATAACACTAAAGTTTTAAGTATCAGGCGTGACATTAAAAGCAGACGCTTTGATCTTCCACCTAAGAGTAAATCTGTAAGGCTTGTTACCAGCATTCAGACATCCATTCTGTTTGCTTCACAGCCAGACAGGACACGGTTAAAAAAAATTAACCTCTGCAGAGCCCACAAGTTATACGTGAAAATATAAAAAAAATTGAATAACAGAAAAGATTGAGTAGTAGAGGCTCAACAATGCAAAAAGGCTGATGATGAACACAGATACAGATGGTTTATTTCATCATTTAGTCTCTTGTCAACTATAGCTAAATATATTTATGGATGTAAAGTAGATTTCCAATACAAAACAGTTTACTCAGCTTATATTTCAACTGGAGTCCTTTCAGGTGCACAGATCCCATTACTCAGCAAACTCAACAAGAGCTAGTCATTAAAAATCCCTGATTTAATCACAATTTTCTCACCAATCAAAAGATGGTTTCTCTCCGCAGTCAAAGGCGTCCTGCAGCTCTTTGACCAGGTTAGCCTGTCCCGGCAGTCTGAACAGACCCTCCTCCTGAAGCCCCCACCTCCGAATGAAGTCCACGCACTGCTCCACCAGCATGGGGGCAAGCTTGTTCCCAAAGCGGCGCTCGTACCGCACAGTCTCCTCCAACTTCTGACCAAAGATCCCTGATATGCACGACAGACGAATGAAAAAATGACGGAAAATGCTCAGTATTGCTTGTTAAAAGCATATGTGAATCACAAAGAAACCACCAAAGCCTGCCTGTGGGAAAAGGAGTTTAAGAATCAGCTGATTGATTCACTATTTGATTGTTTTGAAGTAATTCTCAAACACAAAAAATAAACTGCAAAACATTACACCATTAAAGATAACCATCAATTTTAGAATGATTTCTGATCATAAATGGAGGTAATATTAAATACCGTAATTTTCGGACTATAAGCTGCTACATTTTTGCTTTGCTTTGGACCCTGCGACCGATAAAACGATGCAGCTTATCTATGTTAATATCTTTACAGCTAATGGTCACCAGGGGCGCACTATAGGGAGCCTAAGTCACTTCTACATCATGGGTTCCCAGAAGAACAAAAAAATGAGTGCAAGGGGCTAAAAACGCTATTTTCTAATTCCGCTTGCTTTGTGCCATGGATTTCACATATGATGTTTGTGAATTTTAAAGATGCATTTTGATACTAAGAACGTGCTTATTTTCGAACCAGGGGGGGCGGGGGGATGGGACGGGACAACGGGACGACACGACAATATTTTAGGTTTTGTGTGAAAATAAGTCCAGGACTACAAATGCGCTTCGCGAAAGTGACGTCATCGAACCAGATACGGAAAAAACTGAGGGAAAGGGGCTGTAAGTTCAGCAAACTTCTCACAGGAGAAAAGAACCACCATAAATCTGGTCATGTGGTAAGTAGCAGCTACGATAAAGGAGAGGAGAATATGTGGCGACGTCACATATGCGATGTGCCAATTTCTAGTTAGTAGTTATGCTAATTACAAACTTTTACAAGCTAATAAATCTCAAAGTACATGACTGGCATGGTCGAAACACCCATCGTTACTTTTCATTAAAATTGCAGTACAACATATGTGCGATCTAGGGCGTAAGGCAAAGCGGATTAGAAAATAGCATTTTTAGCACCGTTGACTTGCATTAATTATTTCGTTATTCCGGGGTCCCATGATGCGGAAGTGGCTTAGGCTCCCTATAGACCCATTGAAATGCATTGTTTGCATCTGGGTAACTGCGCTCATCCACACAAGCTAGAGGGTTAGGGTTAAAATTATTCAACTGTCTCCAGCCATTATCCAGCGCTGTATCTCTGTGATTGATGCTAACAAAATAAAATCTTGGGGTTTAGATCTTACTACTTTAGATTATCTAATATATTTTTGTGCAGATGAACCAAAAAAATAAGCACCTCAAATCTAACAGTGTTTAGCATAAGCTTCCAGATCCATGTTTGAAATAGCTAGCAAGGTGTGGGGATGACAGTTCTTCTCAGAACTGGTCATCTGGACTTTATACAGCTGAACCAAACCAGATCTCTTCTATGTTTTGAGGGTCAGTTGTGAAGACACTGCTCGTCTTTGGTGATTAACAAATGCAACGTAAATACAAAACACTAACAACTCTAGCGGGGACCCATGAGCCGACTGGACATGGAACATTCAACATTAAAACATTTGTGATTTCCTCCAAATTTAGCTGGTGTGGCTTACATTCAGGTGCACCTTATGGACAGGAAATATGGTAATTATTACATTTGCATGAACTGCTAATAGTTCGTAGTGCGTCATGAGCTCATCAGTCCTCTAGCACGGGACAATATTACTCTATGTTCAACCTGTCCACAATGAGTAAGATGGTAATTATTTACACGCTTCAAAATGGCCACAAAAATCCTTTACATGTCGGTTTAGGCCAGGCGTAAAACAGCGTACACCTGCCAAGTCTGCTAATCAGATCTCTTAACCTCCTGCTTGCCTTTTGTCTGAGGCTGATTTCCATTTGCAGCTGACTCATGTGGGCGCAGCACGAGAGGGGATTAAAGAAGGATTTGGATCTGCATAGTTTTCTGCTCTCAGATACTAACAGAGCACCCACACACATCCATGCATGAGGTACAGCAAGGCACAGTGGCTAAGTGAGACTAATCTTATCACGGCTCTTGCGTACTTGACACTATGGTTAAAAAAACAACAACAATGAAACTATCACCAAAAATATTCCTGTTCAGAGCTTTCAATGCTCAAGTCAAATATTTCGGGTCATTAATTTCAATTTTCTATTGAATAAATGGCAAATGGCAGGTGTTCATACTCACCCCTCTTCAAACGGACACATTGAATAAGCTTCTGGATCAGATGCCTATTAAACAATTTGTGATAAGTGAGTACACCAGAGGTGCAGAATTTAATTGTCATGGTCTGCATCTGCGTCTTTCCCCATGTGTCTCCTGATGTTCTCCATCCCTCTCTAGATTCCCCTTTTGTGTCTCATAGCACCCTCATGTGTCCTTTGTCTGCGTCTCATTTATGTGTCTTCTGTTTGTAGCCCTTCAGGTCATCCCCAGCCCCTCCAGTTGTAGCTCCAGCCTTTTTGTCCCCAGCTTCCTCCTGGTTTTCTTCATGTTCTCTTGGTCTCCCCACCATATTTCTATAGGGCTATTATTTCAGTTTTGTGTGTGTGTGTGTGTGTGTGTGTGTGTGTATGTCCTTCTCAGCTAGGTGTGTGTGTGTGTGTGTCCTTCTCCAGCTGTGTGTGTGTGTGTGTGTGTGTGTGTGTGTTTGTGTGTCCTTCCCCAGTCAGGTCCGGTGTCCTCCCCTGCTCCTTCTTGCTCCTCCTCCCTGATTAGTTATTGCCTTCACCTGGTTCTCTCCCCACACACCTGCAGCTCATCTGCCTCCATATAGTGCCCCAGTCTATAAAGCCCTGTCTGTTTCTCATTGTCTTGTTGGTCCATTGTATTTGTCAGTGTTGTTTTTGGTGCTCTGTGTGAGCTTCCTGTCCCGTCCCCAGTTTGTGCTCTAAGTGAGCTTTGTTCTCATTTTCTGGATTTTTGGATTTTGGCTCCCTGCCTTTTGGAATTATTTTTGTTTCAGCCTACAATAAAAGGATTTTACTTTACTTCAACTCCTGCCTCGTGTCATCCTGGGTTACTGCATTCTGGGTCCAAACCATCCTCGCAACGTGACATTAACCTGCATGCTAACTAACATTTTCTATAAAAAAACTCACTTTGCAGTTACAATAAAATCCAAATAGGGCTGAATTAAAATAGGATGTTTCTTTTTGCATGAAAATCAGTAAAACTATTTTCATTTTAGTCTCATGAGTAGTCGCTGCAGATAAACTTTTAGATTTGTCCACCTTGTTCTTTGCAGCAATCCAAACAACAGCAATGAAGATTACAAATTCCAAAAGAAAATCGCTAAAAAGAAATTCTAATCTTCTTTTTTCTCCCAGTATCAGAAAAATCTGTGCATTAGAAGGCTCCAGCAAAGAAAACAACCACTGATATCCCCCCGTATGGAATAACGCCCAAAGTGTCTGAAAATGAGGTCATCCCTCCAGACGTTCTAGTCATGAGTGTAGGAATGTTTTGCTGGGTCACATGTAACTCTCTCTCTCTCTGTGTGTGTGTGTGTGTGTGTGTGTGTGTGTGTGTGTGTGTGTGTGTGTCCTGTTCCCATTGGGCTGGTTGTACAAAAAAACAACACTCCTGCATAAAGCAATGGCACCTTTGCAAGTATTTGGCTGTTTTTGTGTCAGCTTCAATAACCTGCTGCTGCCCACAAACAGAAAAAAAAAACAGACTTCAACAGTTTTCATCTTCATGTTTTAAGTTGTATTAATAAAATATAAACGATTGTAATTGTATATATTATATCTATCTGTATCTGAACATATGACAAAGGGGTAAAGATTTTCCGAAGACCTCCTTATAAAATGTTGCCTGCATCATCACCATTTGTTACTTTTTTCTGGGGCGTGTCGTTCCTTTCGCTAATTTATTTTTTGCTTTGTTCTTGAACAGGAAACCACTTTAACTTGGCTGGCTTCCTTGCTTCACATACATTCTGGTTGTCGTTCGCTATAAAGGTGGACTGATAACTGGCACATTAATTGTTGCCATTTTCTGTTTTCACCTGGTTTCATGCTTACATTACTAGTTGAAGTGGAGGGGCTTAATAAATACACAAATAGACATTTGACTTTAGACGTATGCTTTTAAACTCAATTGCACCTAAATTTGGTCAGAGAAATGAATGTTGGCAATTAAACTGAGGCTCAGTTTGTGTTGATGTGAACATCACAATGAGGACAATTACTCAACAGCTGTCTGAGAATCAATGATTTCATCCCACCAATTTAAAAAGGCATTCCCAGCTACATCCCATGTTTACGTCAATCTAAAGACACCCTGATTAGAGATAAAGAGCTGGTAGTTACCACAAAACGCCTCTCCAAGGATCCAGACGAAGAAACCACAGGTACACATTTCCTTTACTTAATTCTCTATCTTATACGCACTAAATGCAACATCACAGCAAGAGTCCAGCTCAACACTACTTTGTTTTGGAAGCTCCTAAACTATTTGGCACTCTTTGAACAGACATCACAGCATGCTTAATCAGCCTATCGGGGCTCAGTCAGTCACTGCTGCTGGGGCAAAATGTGAAAGGCTGATGTGTGTTGTTTTTGTGCATGCGTGTGTGTGTGTGTGTGTGTGTGTGTTTGTAACTGGGAAAGCCCGGCTCAGCTCCAACATGGAGCCACCTTTCCTGTGGCATCTTTGACAAATGGCTCGTCCTTTTGAAGAGCAGTCAACTGCAATTGAGATCAAACTCCCTGCACTGAAAACAGAGGGGCCAGCTCGGCGTCATCTATTCTGTTCGTCAATGAAAGCTGCCCCAACTGCCCGTCTGGTTGCAAAAGCTGCACTTGTGCCCTGCCCACACACAATATAGGCCAATGTGTGCCAGGGCAGTCAATAACAGGCCACAGCAGCCCAGCGGCAGACTATGTAATCAGTGCTCTAATTCCAGTAAAGTCAGGTACCTTTTCATGAGGACAATTGCAGCACGGTGCCCTAAAACAACTATTCTGTGATGACGACTGCGTCCCAACTTTGATGGTTTTTACATATATTAATAACTTACACCGACCTAGCCTTCCTGTGGAGTAGACAAATGGAATAGAAAATAAAAACAAAATGAGAGAGTAATACTGTGCTATGAAATGGGATCTTCAATCTAGCACCTTGGTTTGACCTCTGGTCAAATGAAAGTGCTTTGTTAGTAAAGTTGATGAAGATGATGATTATGGCTAGATTGTGGAGAATTAAAACGTGGATATACTTGCAAAGTATTTCTAGTATTTCTGTGTTTATCTATTTTTGTACTATTAGTAAGAACTCATCATAAAGGTTATTTTACCTAAATACTCACGACTTTCTGACATCTTTAAACAACTATAATCTAAAAAATGCCATTTCAGTTAACGCAAAGATCTTTTAAAACCTTTACACTGCCATTGGTGCCATATTACACAACTATTCTGGTAGGATTGGGGAAATTTTAGTGAGACGATTTAAAGATCTTCCTCTAAATTCTGCTGTAGATAAATGCAGAGTTTTTTTTAAATAAACAACCATTTATGTAAAAAAAAGTGCACAAAACTTATTTTATTATCAATCAAATCAATCAATCAATCAATCAATCAGATTTATTTATATAGCACCTACCACCACCTTATCGGAGGCCCAAGGTGCTGAACAGCACATAAAAACAGGGATTAAAACAACATAGTAGATAAAAGAGAGTAAAATTGATAAAAAATAAATAGAAAAGTACAAGTAAAAGTAATTACAACTCATACAGTACAAAAGGTAAACTACAAAAGTCGGGGTCAACGATGTTGGGGGAAAGCTAGTAGATAAGTGAGTTTTCAGGCAAGACTTAAACTCCTATAGAGAAGGAGCTTGCTCCACTGCCAGAGGGAGCTCATTCCAGATTGTAGGGGCCATTACGGAGAAGGCCCGGCCCCCCTTGATCTGAGTTTAGAGTGGGGGACTTCCAGCATTACGACCCACTTATGACATTTTAGAGATTTCTAATAATATTAATGCACTTTGAAATGGGCCCTTGTGACTAGCTGTTATTAGCTCACCAATTTGGTCAGAACTAACCTTGTTTCGCTAAACTGAGGTCATTCAACAAGCTACCCATAGGTAAAGTATTTTTCGCTTAAAGGTTGAATATGAAATACGGACACTCTGGTGACATCTAGTGTTTAGAGGTGGTAGCTGCAACAACAGAAATGATTTTCCAGCCATTGGGGTGTTGGTTCGCTGTTGACACTCCAAGTGACCAGTCAGCACCATCATGTCCAGTGACAAATCATACAGTAGAGCCCTGCACTGAAGCCCTAGGCCCTCGGGTTGGCCCGGCCCGACGGCCCTCGGGCCGGGCTTCGGGCCAACGACTGTGTAATTACCTCGGACACGGGCCGGGCCGGGCGCCTTTATTTTTATTCGAAATCATTAAAAAAATTAAAACACTTAAACGCAGCAGTAGAGCCCTGCGCGGGACTGTTTTCTTCATCCCGCTCCGCTCCCGCTGAATTTCTGACCATTACAGCCTGCAACCGCAACGTGTGTGTTACACTCCCGCCCGCACCTGCAGCGTGCATGTCTACTCCCGCCCGCAACCGCAAAACTTGGAGAAATTATTACCTCACAATAAAAGAGATGTATTGAGTTTGCGTCCTCAACATGTCATTTTATAGGTTATCCGCTTTCACCGCAGCGCTCCGTTTCAATCAGGCTGTACAGCAGGATTTCCCCTCGTAGCGATATTTTCTCTAACTCTGATTGCTTCATGCTATAGATCGTTGGAAAGCTGCTTTTATGTACTTTTAGGAACCGTTGGAATTATTTGAATCTGATCAACCATTCAAAAGTTATAAAACGGAGCATTTTGGATGACAAACTCGCACGTCTCTGAATCTGTGTTGTGATTCGTTGCGCTCAAGACAGGAAATCCCGGTGGCTACCGTAATGTATTGTATATGCACGGAAAGCCCCATTTTTAATCTTTTCAGCACTTTTGGAATTTTAATGATATCTTGAACTAGAGCAGGGATCGGCAACCCGCGGCTCTTCCATCCATCTGATGCGGCTCTCTGTGCTTGTAAAATAATGAATGGATATTTAAATAAAATGCTTTATATTTTACTGAATTAATTTTATATCTGTAAGTCAATTCTATGTGAAGATTGTCTGCGTAAACCTGAACAGTTCCAACCCGGTCTTACTGTGAGACCGGGTTGGGTCACGCTTGTGCGTAATCATATGCGCTCATGAGCTGAAGAGGATGTGAGATTCTGGGCTTCTCCTCAGACGGCTCCTGGATGTGTCGCACATTGGAGACAGGAACAAGCGCTGTTCAGCCAAAGTTTCATAATCAGGGAACATTTTCTAAGTGACAAGTCTCTCTGAGAGACAGGGTTTGGAAAACACTCGCTTCAGTGGGAGGCTTCCCGCATGCGCTTCTGCGACGCTCGGATCCTGCACATCTTTTAACACATTGGTCAGGATTGACGCACTTTGTTTTCATTTAGTTGGTTAAAAAAAGTCGGGCTTGGGCTCGGGCCGGGCCAAAGAATCCTGAAAACCTTTTCGGGCCGGGTCGGGCTGGGGCTCCACCCCCTCGGGCCGGGCCGGACACGGGCTCAGATTTTAGGCCCGTGCAGGGCTCTATCATACAGGGTAGTAGGGTAATTTCTACTAAGAAGTTTATTTTATAACAGTATGTACTGTTAGTACGCCTTCTGGGCTCAGGATCAGCTGCTTGACTTGTCAAGTCTGCCATGTTACACAGTCCCAACCTTGCCTTGCTGAGCAGACTTTTTAGTGCAACAGTGCCCTCTACTGGCTGGTAGATGTAAACAAAACCCAGTGTCGTGCCTGACAAAATAAAAATTTGATTATTTATTTTTTTAAATATAGCTCTTAAAGGAAAAACTACATTCATTCTGCACCTCTAAATGCCCTGTGGAGGTATTATTGTTAAAAAATATAGCTTTTTATTAAAATATTCCATATTCCACCTTTAATAAAATAAGCACTTTAACAGACATAACATTTATAAAAAATATACACTTTGTTGAGGTAATAAAGAGCCTATTTACAATATAAAAGCATGGGAAATATTTTTAGACCATTATTAGAAAATTTAATAACTTAAAGGTGTGGATTACTTGTTAAATCAGTACATTTGCAGTGGCCTTTAGAAGGAAAGAATGCCTTGCAGGCAGAACTCAGGAATCAAAAAAGCCCACAAATCCCCACCTCAGCAGGCCAAATCTGAGCTTCAGACAACAGAATTTGGAGTCTTATTTCCTGATATTTAGACATCTTACCCCGGACTCGTTAACAGCAACGCAACTCTATCACTGACTTGCAACATGGATGTTTTATCTCCACCAGTAACCTGGAGGACTTTTCGCATGAAGCGAAGTTGCTAATGCTAAAGGTTAGCCTAAACTAGCAGAGACGTCCACTGCTGATTTTTGGACATTAAAACAACAACAGCCATCCTTGTTATGAGTCAGGATTGGTAAGTCCATCAATGCTAATTCACACTGTGATGTAGATATGTCATGATTTTCAAATCCTAGCGTCTCATCGTATGTTTTCTATCAGAAGCTAATGCAGGAGATAGGTGTAGGAGAATTTTTCATGTTCAGCTTGCATGAAAAGCTCAGAAAGACAGACTATAATCAGAAAAAAACATATTTTAAGTTGTTTTTTTCCAACCACACCTTTAATAAATAAATAAAATGTTTTTATTTTGGACAAGGCAACATTGTTCCATTAACACCATCTCTGTACAAACATTGAGTCTGATGTTAAGAGAACCTATACGAACCAATCTGTCTGCTAGCCCTACTGAATTAAACTTGTAAAGCCAGATATTCTTTTCTAGTGTGTACAGGTTAATAAAAACAACAATGTCAGTACTAACCCCCACCAAAAGGTGCCCAGATTACCCTCCGGATTGTCTTCACCCAATCCTCCATGTCATTCTGGGAGTTGGCCATAAGTAGGTAGGTCTCATGGTTGTTTGTCATCCGCTCTCTATCACCACCTGCTCACGGGGCAAAACAGAGAAATAAACAAAATGTCACAAGTCATCATAATCATTATTATGATTGCTGTTTCAAACAAATGATCAAGAAAAAAATCATTTTTTTTTCTTTTTAGCTGATCTCCAAAAAGAAAAATGACTGAAAAAAAACCCAACGCCATTTAAAAAGAGTAATAGCTTTCAAAAAGAGTTCTCTATTGTTTAAAATAAAAACACCAATGAAATCAATAATAAATATTTTTGTGATGCCACACATCTCAATTTATTATCATATCATATGTTTGTTGTGAGCAGGTTCATCTACAATCTAGTTTCTAGATCATTTTTGGTAAATAGAAATACACAAAAATATCTAAAAATTACATTAAAGTAAAACTTGCAGATTGATAAATGATCAAAATTAACTACAAAAAAAAACACGTGGACAAACTGAGACCTAATTTAAAAGGAGTCTTTGTTTCTGTGGATTAGCACCAGCAGCTCAACATTCTGTATAAAATACAAATAGGATTATTGCACAAACTGTTTACCAGATTTTATTCAACCTCTAAACTATTCATGATGAATCTCATCAGAACTTAGATTAGTTTCACACCAAATTGTAAAAACAGACTTCAAATGGAAGATACTGGATGGTTACTCTGGCCAATAAAAGTCACAGATGAGTATGATTTAAGTGTACTAGAACTTTTCAAGAGCTCTAAAGAGTCAAACTCCAACATTTTGGTACCTAACAGTGATTCATTGTGACTAAAGTGTTACAATAATTCATGTCCCTGCTGAAACAAACAGCATGTTGTGTTTTGGATGTTGATGCTGGTTCAGGATGGGATGCTGGTTGTGCTTGCTGGACCAGCATCCCAGCATCCAAAACACAACATACACTGCTTTTTCAGCAGGGTTGTAACTATAATAAAATGTGCATCCTAAAATAAATCACTAGTTTGGACCATAACACGTCAGTCTGTGGAACATAAGCAAGAAATGACACTGAGTTAGTGCTGCACAAAGAAATATGCTTTCCATTGTAACTGAACCTGCATATAATCCCCACCAGCTGTCTGCTGTCATGTCTTATCAGACAGAGAAGAGAGAGGAAGGTACAGATCTGTTTCACTTGATAAATTCGTCTGTAGCTGTCACTATGACAACAAGAGCATCTCCTCAGGTTCACTTCTGCTCTTTTAAAATGACAAAAACTAGTGGAACCTTTAATATTTTTTCTTTCAATGAAATGTTATTCAGCTTAAATAAAATGATCATGGTTATGATGATAATAAAACAAGTTCTAATCCGTAAATTGCTATTCTGACCTTCAGTTCTACTCCAGTAATTAGTCACTACCAGCTGTCCACGTTAATTACACGATGAGGCAGAGCCTGTAAACTTTACCTGACGCCTGACAAAAGCTCTAAAGATACGAGGAGACAATCAGAAATTCCCGCTAATATCTGTGTCCACTGTCCATTCATTCATGAATTTATAAACAGAGGCGGAGCTGGCCTAAATGGCGCCCTGTGCGAGATCCCCCTGTGACGCCCCCCCCCCCACCCCCCCCACCCCCCCCCCCACACACACACACACACGAAAAAACATTACACCTACAACTTTGTTTCAAATTGTGTGGAGTGTATATATAACAACGTTTGCTAACTGAATATAACATCCAGCTCCTGGCCACCTTCTCACCACTTGTCAAAGTTCTACTGAAATAGACACACTTAACGCAACATGATGGCATCATCGACTTGTACAGTACAGATGTGCTGAAAGGCGAGAGTCTCAACTTTCAGCTAAAAAAAAGACCGCTCTAGCTATTATAGTTTTTATTTTATGGCAGTTTACAGTTTAAACGGGATCATACTAGCAGGGCACCTCCAGCGGCCCGCTGCCGCTCCGTTTTTCATGGGGTAAATAATAGCTCATTTCCCGATTCCAAAAAGAAAGAATGGTCCTACCAGCTTGCCACTTCAATATGAAGAAGATCAGTTCAACATGGGGAAAAAAAACCTGACCTGTAGGCCAGAGAAATGTTCATTAGCACATCAAGTTTGATTCAGTTTACCGGTAAACATATCACGAATGTACAACAGGTCAATTATTAATCATCTTGGCTACGTAGCTCAATCTATGCATTCCAGTAGCGTTTGCTACAAACAAATACAAAAACAACAATAAAGGAAAACAACTGTCTGACAGACAGCATAGCCGAATTCAAGGCAACACATAACAATAATAATTCGATTGCTCTTGGTTTCAAGTTAAGCCCATTAAAGTGCTTAAGTAAATAAAAGTGTTTCAAAAACAGCGTTTTTGAACCGGAGTTCTGCTCGCGGTGGGAACTCCGCCGAACAAGGTCATTTTTTATAGCGAAAACGATCGACTGGTCACTGACAAGTAAAAGGGTGTTATTGGTAGATGTTAAGAACACTTACCGCTGAGGTAAAATGAGAGTATAAATGAATTGAGGGGAGAAAAACGCTTTGTTTTCCAACGCCGTTCTACAAGCAACAAGCTTACAGCCACGGCAGGAGCAACTTTCATGTTTGCCGCGACTGGAAGGAGCCAATCAGGAGAGGGACCTCACATCAGCTGACGTGGGTCATGTGACAGGGAGTAGTTGATATGGGTTACACTTTGTTGTGCTTTTATTACAGAAATATTATTATTATCATCACTATTATTATTAAGAACAAGCGATTTCTATGTTTTGTTTATGTATTGGTTGATGCTAAAAATAATAATTTTTTTAGAAAAAAAAAAAAAAAAGGAAATTAAATGCCGCCCCCTGCAGACTGCCGCCCTGTTCGGCCGCACATGTTGCACATATCAAGCTCCGCCACTGTTTATAAACATACATAAAAATACATAAACATACACAAACATTATAAACAAAGGCAGCTCAATCATCACCACGACTGTCTTCTATCTGCGTTCAAACGTGGACCCGCAACAGCGTTTCATTACCGCCCCAAACAAACTAAATGCTAACCGGTATTTGAGGCGCTCACTTATATCCGCATGGGAGTGTTTCCTCCGATGACAATAAAGCTCCGTCGCTCCAGAATAGTTCGTTTGCGAACCGAACTCCACCTTTAACTCGTTCAACCGTGTTACAAACTGAATTTATGGGCGGACATTACAGGTTTAGTCGGGAGAGACGATGTGTCGGCGTGCCGAGAGAGAGAGAGAGAGAGAGAGAGAGAGAGAGAGAGAGAGAGAGAGAGAGAGAGAGAGAGAGAGAGAGAGAGAGAGAGAGAGAGAGAGAGAGAGAGAGAGAGAGAGAGAGAGAGAGAGAGAGAGAGAGAGAGAGAGAGAGAGAGAGAGAGAGAGAGAGAGAGAGAGAGAGATCAGGGCCGCACTGAGTTTTCTAGGTACTGCTTGCAACCCCCACCCCCCTTAGGGGTGTGTCCAATTCAGCGGCTGAATCCCTGCAAGTGTGTCACAATTCTAGTGCGAATTAATGCCTTGAGTCGTTTTCAGTGGGGAAAAAAATGCTCTTGCGCTCCCGTTTCAGGTGGCAGAGGTTTGACAGGCAGCAGAGGTCGGAAAATTACAGAAAAGTCAGACCTACTCATTACTAATATGCAAACATCTTGCCACTGATTGGCTAACAGCAACACGACTCTTCCACTGCTTTAGTTCACTCGTCTTTAGTAAGTAAAAAATGCAACTTTGGTTTTTTCTCCGCAGATAAAGCAAGCATCAACACTTTCTATTGTGTTGTGAACTGGCTATTGTAATTTTTTTAGACATTCATTACACTTTTCTTACAACCCAGCAGTTCAACAAATACATTAATTGGCATATTATCAACATTTGGATGCTACTATGACACATCTATACATATACGAAAATGTAAGTGGACACCAACAAACTTGCAAATTATGTGAAATTAATAAAACAACAACTTGTGAAAGAGAAATGCAGCTCCATAACATGAACTCAATAGCCAGATTAAAATATCACTTTCTTTTAGCATCAACCTCCCTCTTGAGCCACATGTCATCTCATTCTGATGCCCATTAGGTTTAAATGCTGTAAAGCAAACTAATCTTGTTTCCTCAACTCCTTGGGCCCTTTAATTTCCTACAATAACCCTAATTATCCACTGAGGCCCATTTGTCTCAAGAAATGTTCTCGCTCCACCCTGCCTGCATTGTTTATGTGAACTGTCATGCAAAATCCTAGTGGGTCTGAGCTTCTTTGACCACATTTAATATTAATCAGTCTTTCCATTACTTGTTTGGATAGTTAGCATTTGCTTCTGAAAACAACAGTTGTGAAGCTGTTAAACAAGACAGGAAAAGGAATATATGGCATACCACGACCATTACACCACACTCCCATTCCTTCTGCCATTTCCTGTTGATGCTCGGTTTACTTCCACAGAGACAGTTTGCTTCATGGTTCGTAAAGATAAAACCCTCTTTTTATATGCATTAAACTAGGGGTGTATTTGCAAGAATCATGGCAATATATTTTTTACAGTACAGTGATCTATATGGTATATTGTGACACTAAAAGCCAGACAAAGTTTGCAATTTTTAAGACTGAATTTACTCATATAGGACTTTCAAGTCACATCGAGCATTATCACGAGATCTCGTTCCATCAGAATGAAGGCAGTGAAAACTGCTGCCACCTAGCAGCTGGAGTTTGAATTGCACCACACAAAAGAAATACAGTAAATTATTGCGTGTAAATTCTATTTAAAAATCAATACACAGCTTTTAAATATCACTGAGATATTTCAGTTTATCGATTTTTTTTTACATCTGTACAATGAAGTAGTTAGTTACGGTATTTGGAAAACAAGACTCAAGTTGGTGAATGCTCTTGCTTGTTCCATTAAAGGTTTAATTAATTAGCACCTGATTTTAATCACTGATTTTATAGATAAGCATTTTAGGTAAATGACAAAAAACCTCATTGAGTTCAAATCTCTTCCTATTTAGCTCACTAAAAGTGACTTTTTGTTGTTTTTGACATATTCCTCCCTAGCTGTGGTTAAACTATCTAGTTGAATTACCCTTCACTGTACAATGCTCAGACAGCTTCTGGTGTAACTTCCACTATTTCCTGTAAAAAGAGGCATACTTTGTAAAAATTGTGAGAAATGGAAGCAGCATTTCACAAGGAGTTTCTCCTGGGGATTTTTACCTAAACTACAAATGTATTTGAGGAGAAGCCACAACAAATATTTTGGCTTTGCCTTATTGCACAGCTCAATACTTTGATTTAGTGGTGAACATCTGTCTAATTTTAACATCTAATTTTTCAAAAGCATTTAGCGTTTAGGATACAGCTAGCAGTAAAGACTGAGAATCCCAATTCACAGTGGGACTTAATTATAAAGAAAATAAAGGAAGAAAAACTACTAATGAGTATAGCACATAATCTGTTTTACATCCATCAATCTTCCAATAATCCGAGACAATGCAAACCTGGCACACAAACAACACTCTTACATTTAAATGCATGTTTTGTTAGAGCAGCACATATCTGAGCAACAACTTGTCTCCAAAAACGCCATGTCATGTTTGTCATCTGAGACAGTCTGGCATCAAATCACCAGCTGTTCATTCCAGATGTGACCACCAGCTTAAATAAATGACCAGCTGCAGACTGACGTTAACTAATGACCCGAAACAGGTGGGAGACAACAAAGGATCTCACTGTGCTGTTGTGGCTCACACATACCTGGTGCTCTATATGTTGTAAATCCACACGCAATGCCGCCATTCTTGGCATTGCCTTCAGGATCACACAATGAACACTTTAGAGTTGTGCTAAGTGAACTCTGACCCCCCTAGAGTCCTGAAAGCTATCTGCCACACAGACAATTACTGATGCTTGAAATATGAAAAGTTAAAAGGTTTTAAATACGTGGAAATGATACTTTGGTTCTTTTGCCAAAGTTATAGATTTGATCTTTTTTCTTAGTGATTTTAAACAGATATATTTAACTGCTATTTATTACCAAGAAACAGTCAATTCAACGTAGTACTGATCTTGTGCCTGGTAAATTGTCCCAAGTGTATCTTCAAGTACACCCTGCCAGTGTCTTAGGCTTAAATTACATTTTCAAGAAACAAAACTAGTTTATTTTATCAATCATTTATTTTTAGTAATTTTATTTTCTCATGAAAACGTTGTGCTTTGTCACTGCACAACAATGAAGGTAAATACTATATGGGTGATAAGAGTGATATGAAAGTTAGGGATTTGTATGAAGGAGTATGCATTCAAGTGACAGTGTGTACTTTCCCTGGCGATAGGGGGCAGTACACACCAAAATCACTGCAAGCAAGCAAGCATTATTTCAGTATTCAAATAAGACCTTAGCAACGGAAGGCCATTAGGGTCAAAAATCCCTGGGAGTGCAATCTCCAGCAAAATAAGATTCCCTTTCATCACTGGCAATGAGTGAAGAGGTAAATGTGTAAAGCAACAATGTTCATTAATGGTGAAAGTTTTGTAACCATTTGTTACAAATCAGTAAATGCAGTTTGTCTTCAAAGACTCCCGTAGAAGGAAACATGGCGTCCAATGTGGCATTGCCCAGAGACTTAGACCCGCTTCCACGTATTTTAGAACAGATTCTATGGTTATATGTTATGGAACTGCCAATATGTTTCAACAACTGGGCCTCATTGTAGTCATTTACTACAACATTTGGATGGATATTTCCAGAGATTAATGGTAAAAACTACACAATATCATTTAAAAATTTTAAATGAAAATCTGAAATTTTCTGATAAAAATCTGGATTCTGATATTTTTTCCAAGAATAAGGTGAAACATCTTCCATACATATTAATTCTAGAAAAATGTGTTGTCCTTTCTGAACAAACACCATTTTTGTTATGGCAATGGATTATTATTATTTGTTTGTTTGTTTTTTTGCAGAAAATTACCTAAAAATAATAAATAAACAGGCCTAAAACTATTACTACTACTTTTATTAACATTCTGCTGTTCCATGAAAAAAATAAAAGCTGAATTTTTTCATTTTATATTAAAGCACAAGTTATTTCATGTTTAGCCAAAGTTATTGAGAGCCCCTGAAGGTCTGAAGAGCCACTTGCAAGCTGTAGACTCCTGATTTAAACCATATAGAACTAAATGTCGGGTTGTTTTTGACTGATCCATTTAAATCTGCCGCCCTTGTCTAGGCAACTTTAACCATTAACAACACACACCATTTTGCTTATAAAACAGACAAGTAGGCTCACTATTTTCCAAGAAACAGGTCATTATTGTCTTTGTTATCAATGGCAGTATAATTTCTTATTTATGGTTTACTAAGTGTTTACAGTAGGGGTGAGAATTTAATGTGTTAATTACAACTAATTAATTAGAAAAACAACAACCTGTTAAAATATACCCCTTTGAGCCCGAGCATCCTCCTGTGGAAACTGGAAATTTTAGCATCATCAATTATGCTCTTTGTATCAATAAATATCAACAAGCTACACCCCTAGCAAGACTGCAGAGCCTGGGCTACAACACCATATAAACCTTTTTATGTGCTTTAAACACAACTAAAAATACAATTAAATTAATCATGACAAATTGCTTTTCATGAAGAAAAGAAAAGATGAAAATAATCATATTTTTTACTGTTATGTTTTCTAGTTGGTAGAAAGCAAGCAGGCAGTAACTTCAAACAATTTAACTTTATTATAGCAGGAAGGTTAAGCATACACACAGTATTCATCTCGTAACCCTCAGCAGAACTTCCCCTGAACTCTATACTACACCTCTATATGGATATTTGCTGTGCTCTTCTGCCACCTAGTGTTCAGTTCAGTACACAACATTTACAATGTTTCAT